TAAGACCTGAACACATAGGTCACATGACTCCACAGGTAAGACCTGAACACATAGGTCACATGACTGCACAGGTGAGACTTGAACACACAGGTCACCTGACTGCACAGGTAAGACCTGAACACAGGTCACATGACTCCACAGGTAAGACCTGAACACACAGGTCACCTTACTGCACAGGTAAGACCTGAACACACAGGTCACCTGACTGCACAGGTGAGACCTGAACACAGGTCACATGACTGGACAGGTAAGACCTCAACACACAGGTCGTATGACTCGACAGGTAAGACCTGAACACACAGGTCACATGACTCGACAGGTAAGACCTGAACACACAGGTCACATGACTCGACAGGTAAGACCTGAACACACAGGTCACATGACTCGACAGGTAAGACCATAATCCAAGTGTTAATTTTCTAGGACAGGTGAGTAACAGGAAACAGGTGATGATGTCAGCACACTACCTGTGTTACCTGCTCAGTCAGAGCTCTCAGCTCTGATTGGTCCTCCAGTAGACCCTCCATGGTCACGTGGACGGCCTTCAGCTCGGCGCTCAGCCTCTTCGCCTGAAAAACAACCACAGAAGAAGAAGAACCTGACCCAGAACCAGAACCTGACCCAGAACCAGAACCAGAACCAGAACCAGAACCAGGTGTGTTTAGACTCACCAGTGTGTGTTTGCCGACAGCAGGTGGGCCGAGCAGCATCACCCTGGGAACTGATGACAGAAACACACCTGAGCTCAGACCAGCCACACCTCACAGGTGGAGCAAGTACCAGAACTGAACCCAGGTTCTGCAGCGGCCATTTTGAATTTGGTCCAAAGTTCAGCCAGTGGTTCAGGAGATATTTTACTAACAGACACTCACTGTCCACCCTGCTCCTCTGCAGCAAGTCCACCAGGTAGGAGATCGGATCGTCGGGGCGGTCCACCACCAGAGAGGACACCAAGCTCTGACACACACACACACACACACACACACACACACACACACACACACACACACACACACACACACACACACACACACACACACACACACACACACACACACACACACACACACACACAGTCAGGATCAGCAGCTGAGCTCCAATAAAATAACCTGCTGGGGGCGGGTTTACCTGCACCAGGTGAGACAGGTTGTGTTTGTCGGCATAAATGCTCATGTGAGGAGGGATCCTCACAGGCTTCAGAGTCTCATCCATCCCACGGTCCTGAGGACAGTGAACGCAGCACGCTCAGCCCTGCACACTGAAACTGCTTCATCCAGCATTTAATGTTATTATGTAAATAAACCAAGTTTTACAAACATCTGTTACCTTTGAATGAGTTTATTTTGCTGAGTTTAATCATGAATATAACATACTATAAAAGTATAAAAGTAGTGATTAAACAACAAAACCAAAAACAACACGTTCTAAGTCTTATTTAACACAAACATTATTTTAACATCTCTGACTTGACAATTTTTAACCGATTTTATTTTCACTTTCATCGTTTTATCTTCAGCTGCTTCTAGTTTTAATATTCTTGAGTGTTTATAGAAATGTTTTTTACCAAGATCCTGATGTTTCTGTAGAGACCAAACATGTCTGTGTTGAACTAAAACAACTTGTAGTAATTAAAGAAGAAAACCAGAGGTTTGGGCTGAAGACATGATTGAACCAATGGGCGGGCCAAACTTTGGTCACTCGCGGGCCGGATATGGCCCGTGGGCCGCCAGTTGAATAGCCCTGGTCTAGGTTCTGGTCCAGTAGGTAGGCGCACACCAGGACTGGGGGGGGGGCTCAGGTGTATCTACAGGTAAATTAGTGTTGGTTTTATTCATTCACTGGAAAACGTTTCCCCCTTTTTCACCTGGAAATAACCTTTATCACCAGTTACATGAATTATAAGTTGTTTATAAAATGATTTGTTTTTAAACCGGTCAAACGTCTGTTTCAGGAAGGGATCAGACTCTAACCTGAACGGAGAAACTTATTTATTTCTCCAAATAAAATCCAGGAAGCGACTTCTTTCAGCTGCTATGACGTCACCAGCAGCTCTTACTTACTGTTTCCGTGCTTCCTGTGCAGGTTTGACGCGCAGAAACGCAAAAAACCCGCAGAAATCTTCGACGATTATCCGTCCTGCGGCAGCTGCAACTCGGTCTGAGCGGCCTGTTGCTAGGACGCGCTGGTTTGTTGCTAAGGAGTGGTGACGTCATCAGTCAGCGCCGGGCTGAGAACAGCGACGGTCGGGTAACCGCATTTTTAATTTCTTTTTTTTACAAAATTGATATAAACTGATATAAATGTGAGTGAACACATTAAAAAAGTCAGAATAAATTTATACGTTTAAAAACAACTTATTTTCTCTGTTGACGGCGTCTCTAACTATATTCAATGTTTGCAGCTGACATTTAGCTGCAGATACAGATAATAAAAATGTATTGAAATGATGAATAGAAAGAAAACTTGATTTTCCATTTAAATTTGATGGTGTTGAGATTAGTAGAGCCAGTGAGATAAAGTTTTTGGACATTATTGATGAAAATATGACATGGAGAGATAATATAAATTACTGAAGAACAAAAATAGCTCAATCTGTTGGAGTACTGTTGTAGAAAGTAATGGAGTTTGTAATGCGATGGTCGTACATAGAGCTAGCTTAGCATAAACCATGTGCTACAGTGCAGCTCCGAAAACAGCGACAGCCTTTTGGTTCCCACATGCACTACTTTATTACACAAACCATACAAAGCAGGTCTACACGGTGTTAAATCTACATTCAAACATGAATATAGATAATTGTCCATGATCACCATCATTCATCACCAGGTTGGGCAGCAGAGCAGCTAAGCGCGAACACACAGCAATGTTTCAGCTCTAAACCAGTGGCGCCCAAACATTTTCCCCAAGAGGCCCAAAATGAAAATGTGTCCAGGTCTGCGGGGTAAATGCAGTAATATAATACATGAAATACAAATACTTTTTTAAGTAAAGTCCTTTATTTTTAACGATTAAGCTGTGCAGTAGCCCTCTTTTGTTTTAGTCTGTGCACTTGGAGAAAGTCTGCCATTCGCTCAAGTAGCAAAGGCTCATGGGACATTTCATAAATTGATAAAATATGAGTTTTTGTGGCCTTATAAAGTGTGCAAATCTACACGTGGGGTTAAATATGATCTAAATATTTCTTGTTGTCATTTCATGTTTCATGTTTAATCCTAATAAATCAAAGATAAAGTCAGCACCATGACTGAAAACTACCTTCACTACAGGCCTTTTGTATAGTCATTTGACCAATGGAAACACTGTGTTTCTACCTATAGGATAACAAGTTACAACCTTGTAATGTTGGCAACTGTTGGTGGGCCAAATCAAATGGCTTGGCGGGCCAAATTTGGCCCGTGGGCCCCAGTTTGGGCTCCTCTGGTCTAAACTCACAACATCATATGTTATAACAGAAGAGGCGCCATCGTGTGGCAGTAAAGGTGCTACAACAGTGATAAACACACTGACTGCTACAAGTTATTCATGGATAAAACTGTTTATTTTGTATAAAACAATAATTGTTCCACACTTGATTTACTGTATTAAAGTCTGGGGTTAAACGATCACTAATCCTATTTTTATTTTACAGAAAAGAGCCATAAAAATTATCACCAGAAAACATTAAAGTCACCCTTCAAATATATTATTTTATAAATTAAAATTATTCAAATTTTACGAGTAGGTTGATTATAATACCTTACAGATTGTGTATAAGACTCATAAAAATGTTGCTTTTAAACATCCAGTTATATTTTGTTAAGGAAGTTTATATAATCTTAAAGGAGATGTTTATAAAACCTAAAATTTAAACAAACTTGAAGGATAAATGTACGTCTGTTCAAGGAATAAAACTGGAATAATCTGGAAAGTGATAATAAAAATGCAGGTTCAATGTGTTTAACAGAATGATAAAATAAGTTTGTTAAAGAAATATGAAATTGTATAATGTTTATTAAAAGTTGTTTGTGAAGGAATTTAAGTTTTTATTTTGTTTCTTGATTATTATTGCTTGAAATTAATTATTGAAAAAAGGGCAAATATAAGATCTTTTCTTCTTTCTGCCTCCTTTCAGTTTGGATTTGTATATTTTTTGTTGTGTATAAAAATTTTGTTTTTAAATGAATAAAACTAAATTATTTCATAAATTCTTCTGTTATAATCTCTATCTGATATCAAAGCTTATTGCTTTCTAATTTAGATAGTTTTGTTAGCTTATATTAGCATAGCTGTTAGCTTCACGTTATGGAGCTAATACGGATTTATTACTAACTTCTAGACAATATATATATATATATATATATATATATATATTAAAATAATACAGCTTGTTACAATGCTCATGTTTTGACTTTTTATCACCTGAAGGATGTTTAATCTTTTTGCTGTGTTTGTTAGTAAAATATGTCATGATTTCATCCAGTCGAGGCCTCGTCAGTCATTCTGGAGGATTAAAAACTCAACTGACTATAATTCAGCTAGTTTGACAGAAATTAAGCTAAAATGGGCTGTGATAGTAGCTGAAAGCAATCTTTTGCTACACCAAACATTCTGCCAGATGTTTGTTTAAAAGTCGGTGTGAACCACGTGTGTGTTAGCAAAATACCTCACAGAAGTGGATGACTGTCCTAAAGGTGAAGAAATGAGAAAACAACAAACCAACATGATAACAGAGTTGTTCTGTAAAGCAGGTTTTGACACAGTTCAGATTTAATTCGACCAACTGGACACAAACAGAATCTTTATTTCTCTGCAGATTAAAAGCAACGTGTCAGAGAAAAACAGCAGCGAAACTGTGAAGAAACACCATCGTAAACAATCACACAAACAGCTTATTAAGCAATAAAAATCAACCGTTATCAAAGATTCGATTGTCGGGATGCTTTTAAAAATAATATAATCCCAAAAGTGTTGAAAATCTTTGCTTTTTTTCTGTGCATCTCTGAAGTTCAGAGGTTTGGATTTAATATAATCCAGATTTAAAGTTTCCCTGCATGTGGTTTCATCACCACATCGGTTAGTGTTGAGTAAAAACCTCCTTTGGGAACCAGAAGCAGACAGAAATCAGAACGTGAGCAGAGCAGCAGATGTGCAGTCACACAACAACCTAATTAAACTTTCATTTATTCTTTCTTTATTATCTTTTCGCTTGTGTTGTTCCTTTGAGCTTCAGAGCCAATCAGCATCAAGTATCTGCTTCCTGTTTCATCTGATGACATCACTTCCTGTTTTGATTGGCTCCCATCAAAAAACACAAGATAAAAAAAACCGGATAAAAAAAAAAGGTGCAAAAATAGTTGAATAGTGTTTCTGTTAATTGTGTTTAAATTTATTTGGCGTTAATTGTAATTATGCTAACGATGATCTGAAGCTTGGGTCCTCTGCTGCTCTGCTCTCTACAGTCTTTGGGTTTAAAACACAAGAAGCTTCACAAACATTTGGTTTAGAGACAAACAGATAACAGAATCACAGACTGATCCTGGATCTGTTCCCTGCTCTGGTCACCTCCCCCTGCATAAGAAATCTGATTGGTCAGAAGTTTGTGGGCGTGTTTGTTTACACTGAAAAGCACTTGGACACTACTTTAAGCTTCAGCTATTCACTTCCAGAATCCACCTGTTATTGTTGTCAGCAGATGTTTATAAAGAGTCAGACAGACAAAACCTCAGGGATGGAGATCAAACTGATGATGTGCACGGAGGACTGTGGAGCTTTAACCAGGACAGATCTGTGGACTAATAAAGTTGGGCATCAAAGTTTTGTTTCCTCCTGAGCTTAAACTCCATTGAGAAGAAACAGGGATGTATCTGACAGGGGAGGTCTCCCAGGAGATCAGCTCGGTGTCTCAGGAGCTATGGTGTGTGAAGAACAACCGCTGAACAACCAGGTGACCGCTCGTCTTCTTCAGCTGCTGATCGACCATCTGAGCCCTTAGTAATCCAGACCACAACCAGGCTACATTCAGACCACAACCAGGCCTCATTCAGACCACAACCAGGCCACATTCAGACCACAACCAGGCTGCATTCAGACCACAACCAGGCTGCATTCAGACCACAACCAGGCTACATTCAGACCACTACCAGGCCACATTCAGACCACTACCAGGCTACATTCAGACCACTACCAGGCTACATTTAGACCACAACCAGGCTACATTCAGACCACTACCAGGCTACATTTAGACCACAACCAGGCTACATTCAGACCACTACCAGGCTACATTCAGACCACTACCAGGCTACATTTAGACCACAACCAGGCTACATTTAGACCACAACCAGGCCACATTTAGACCACAACCAGGCTACAGTTAGACCTCATTCGGATGACATTCAAGATTAGATTTGGATCAGGATCAGGATTAGATTATTTAATCTTAATTCCTTCCTGTTTCAGGTAATCTGACAGGATCAGTTACATTTTTTGATATGTTTCTGCTGGAGATCATTTGTTTAGAAAATCCTTGACATTTCTGACATTTATTAATACTTCCTGTTCTGTCCTTCACCTCCTCCAGACTCCTCCACTCCTCCTCCTGACTCCGCCTCTCCCCCTCCAGAGTCCTCCACTCCTCCTCCTGACTCCACCTCTCCATCTCCAGACTCCTCCTCTCCTCCTCCAGACTCCTCCACTCCTCCTCCTGACTCCACCTCTCCATCTCCAGACTCCTCCTCTCCTCCTCATGACTCCGCCTCTCCTCCAGGCCCCGCCTCTCCATCAGAACTCTGGCAGCAGCTCGTCGTAGTTCATGATGCTGAGCTCGTCTCTCCTCTGACGAACAGCAAGCGACAGATCTGTGATGGAGGAGGGTGGAGGACTCGGAGGCTGCGTCTGTGGACTCCCTGCGAGGAGGGTGGCCTCCTGCACCTCCTGACCCAGAGGAGGGCTCTCCGGCTGGGCCGTCTCCTCCTCCTCTTCTTCCTCTTCCTCCTCCTTCTCCTGCTCCTCCACCTCCTCTTGACTCTGCCCAGTCGGTCCGAACAATCTTCTGGCTTGCTGCTCCAGGAAGGAGCCCACGGCCAGAGGGGAGTCGATGGGGGAGACGGAGAGGGGGGAGCAGGAGGACAGGGTCTCCATGGCTCCGTTTATGATGCCAACGGCAGAAGAAGAGGAGTAAAGTGGCTTGTTGCTGCCCGGAGGCACAGGTGAGGAGGAGCTGTCACTGACTGGCCTGAGAGACAGAGATGACATCACGCTTAAAAACGCTGAGTCATGCAACAGAAATCACAGCAGGTGTTGAAGAGTCGGGCCCCCTCTGTGACGCTTCACATCACTGACATCAGTTTTTCTTCCGTACCTTTTTTACATCATATCTCCTTCCACAATTTTTAAGCTATTTCAACAATTCATATATCAAACCGTTCAGCTCATTCAGGTCGTTCCGGTTATGACTTTAGTTATTTCAGCTATTTATAACGTTTTAGCTGTTTCACTTTTTTGCCACTGAAAATGAATGGAGCCATATTCAACATCCTTGAAATCCTTCAAAATGTTTCTAAATCTTCACAGCACCTTAAACATTTTGTTCTTCTTATGCTCTTTTTAACTTCCTTGTGCTAATTTGAGCTTTTTTTTGCTAATTTTAGCTGTTTTCTGCTATTTCAGCTAAAATTATACTTATTTCTGCTATTCTTCTGCTGTTTTCTACTTTTTTGTAATTCTTTCTTCTACTTTATGCTATTTATGCTTTTTACAGATGCTTTCTGCTGCATTCAGCTATTTGCTGAAATTTTAACTAATGTTCAGCTGTTATTAGCTAAAGTTAGCTTTTTAAGCTAAATAAATATATTTTGCAGCTTTTACAACTTATCTCTGCTACGTTCAGCAAACTTGTGCTCCTTATGCTGATTAAAACATTTGCAGCTACTTTTTAGCTGTTTTACTAAAAACATGGGCTGTTTTAGCCATTTTACTACTAATTATCATTTTTAGTAGTTTTATGCAGATTTTTCTACTAATTCTTAATTTTTTTACAATACTTTTACTATCTGAGTGCTACTTTCAACTTCTGTCTGCTACCATTAGCTTATTTTTATGCTAAGTTTAGCTTTTTTCTTCTATTTTAGCTAAAATTCCGCCTCTTTTGCTTTTCGTCTTCTAAAGACATATTTTTTTGTAGCTTTCACAACTTCTCTCTGCTAAGTTCAGCAAACTTGTGCTTCTTATGCTAATCAAAACATTTCCAATTACTTTTTAGCTGTTTTACTGAAAACTTCAGCTGTTTTAGCTATTTTTCTACAAATGATGACTTTTCTAGTAGTTTTATGCAGTTTTTTATGCTAATTTCATATTTTTACAACACTTTCACCATCTAGGTGTTTCTGTCAACTTGTTTCTGCTACTTATAGCTTCTTTTTATGCAAATTGTAGCATTTTTTTAGCTAAAATCCTGATTTCTGCTATTTGACTGCAATATCCAACATTATTGTAATTATTTCTGCTAATTTGAGCTGTTTATGCTTCTTACTGTTGCTTTCTGTTATATTCCTTTTTTATCATTTATATTTTAGCTGTTTTCTGCTCATCTTTTTTGCTCATTCCTACTTTTTTCTGCAAAGTTAAAGATTGTTTTGCTTCTTTTTGCTTTTCAAATTGAACATTTTTGCTACTAAACATGTTCAGCTCAATTTCAGCAGCTTCCAGCTTAAGTTTTCAGCATGTAGCATTCACACTAGCATTTTCGCAGGAAGTGCATTTCTCTAGTTATAATTAGTGCTGTTCTGATGAGCAGAGAAAAGAATCAGTGTTTTACCTGCTGCTGACACCCTGAGGCGGCTCACTTCCTGTCTGCGTGTCCACGTGCACCAGGCTGTACAGGTGCAGCATCTCCGTCTGCAGGCACTGGGTGACTCTCCTCAGAGCCACGCAGCGACTCTCTGAGGCCAACAGCTCCTCCCTGAAACAAACCAACCATCAGGTAAACGATACAGCTTTAAAACCAGCTGAGGCGTCCCACAGGGTTCTGTGCAAGGCCCACTTCTGTTTCCAGGAAAAAAACAAGCATTGGTTTGGAGTCTGACCTGCTCTGGGTCTTAGAGTCCTCCAGAAGCTTCTTCTGGTCCAGAATCAGCTTCTCCTTCTTGGCCAGCTGGTTCTCCAGGTCCGTTATCCTGTGATTGGCTGCTTCCAGCTTCTGTCTCTGCTGGACGTCCCGGTCCTTCAGCCTCTGGAAGTCCTTACCCACGGTGCACTGCAGCATGGCCTCCTCCTGAGCAGAAGGAGGCAGCGTTACGCTCAGGTCCACAGAACCTTCAGAGTTTCAGGGTTAGGGGTCTTACGGTCCAGCTGTGCTCGTCTCCTGACTCCAGCTGTTCCCTCAGGGCTCGGTTGGTTTCCCTCAGCAGGACCAGCTGCTGGTTCAGCAGGAAGATCTGCTGCTGCAGCTGTTCACTGCTGCACAGCTGAAGACACGAAACACTGGTTAAACCCCAGAATTACAGTTCCACCCAACAACACTAAATTAACTGAAACGTCAAAACAAACAAGAAAAACTTCAAGAGCCTAGAAGTGGGTTTTTATTTTTAAAAGTTTGTTTTCATCCTTCATATCAGATGTAAACAAAGAAAATGTAAAATATCTGACTTTCATAAAAACAGCTGAGGTCCAATGACAGGTCTCCTCACTTTGAGTGACAGCTGGGTCAGCTGGTGTTCTGCATTATAGGCCTTGTGATTGGCTTTTTGTAGCCCCGCCTCCAGATCTCTGAGCCTGCTGTGGCACTCCCGAAGCTCACTCTGAAACAGCCAATCAAAGCACAGACATGGTTTTAATCAGCCAGTTAAGAGTTGTGTTTTCCTCCTCTTCTGTTTGATTTGGACTTTTTTCACCTGCAGTTTCTGGTTCTCCTGCTGCCGGTCTTGTTGCTGCTGCTGCAGTTGTCTGATCTGCACCCGCAGCTGCTCGGTCTGCATCTGCGTGTCCTGCTTCAGCTCGCTGTAACGCCTTTGCTCTTCGCTCAGACTCGACTTCAGACACCGGATCTCCCCATCCTGAACGCCCAGCTGTGCCTTCTACCACAGCCCAGGGAAGGAACAGATAAAAATCAGCCGAAGATACAAAAACAAACAGATAACCAGGAAATCTAATTAACAATGAAACTGATATTTCCTGTGAAAATTCAGAGAGAAAGCTGAGCGCTGAATGACTTTACTGAAATTGAAACTAAGATGTCCAAGCTAAAAGAACTAAACTAAAAATGAGCAAACTGCTAGCTAAATATACCAACAGGCTAGTTAAATGAAGTAAAGCTCTAGCTAAAAGCTATGAATGTGCAAAACAGTGGCTTAAAGCTAAAAGTAGCAGAGCAGTAGCTTAAATCCAAAAGTAGCAGAGCAGTAGCTTAAAGCCAAAAGTAGCAGAGCAGTAGCTTAAAGCTAAAAGTAGCAGAGCAAAAAGTAGCAGAGCAGTAGCTTAAAGCTAAAAGTAGCAGAGCAGTAGTTTAAAGCTAAAAGTAGCAGAGCAGTAGCTTAAAGCTAAAAGTAGCAGAGCAGTAGTTTAAAGCTAAAAGTAGCAGAGCAGTAGCTTAAAGCTAAAAGTAGCAGAGCAGT